CTGCGGGGTGCAGGGGGGGGTGCCACTAGGACCCAGAGTGTAGAAAATTGTCTGCTGCTGGTGCAGTGAGGGGGGTATGGGAGCGGCATTTGAGCTCCCCACCTCAGGTGCCAAAATGTGGTGGACTGGCCCTGATCCCGGGGCGCTGCCCATCCCAGCATGGTCCCAGGAGAGCGCACGGGCGAGTCTGGCCCTCGGGATTCCATTCCTTCCCCCTCCCCCCGTGTAGATGCGTACTGCCTAGCTGGTAGACACACTCACGCAGCGTGAGCATGTCTGCCAGTACACAACTACATTCTGATACTCATGATAATAATAAAACTTATTTAATTAGAAAATACCATACATTTATATGTCCCGTATTTTCTCAATTTGTATACCTGACAGTCTGGTTCAAAACCAGACACCTAACAACCCTAATTCAGACTATGTGGTCTTATGGTTACAAGAGGTAGCCAACAAACAAACTTGAAATGCTAAGCTCCTGTAGCTTTTAATGGAAAATGTTTTGGAATAGCTTTATATGCTCAAAGGTTTACACAAGTTTTATGGGTAATCAATTTATATAATCACATCTAAATTTCATGGGGGGCTCAGGATACCAGTAGTTGGAGGTGGGTAGAAAGACTAGGGAGAATGAAGTTTCCCTCTGATATAAATAAATACAAATTATTTTAATGGCACTCATTTCCTAGAATCTACACTATAATGTTTAGATTTTATAGGCCTCCAAAGGAAACCTAATACCGTAAGAGGGTTAACAAGTACAGACTACTTACAGCTCTATTACAACAGCCAGCCTAATTTACTTTTTCTTTTTCTTCACACCTGCAGAAACCTTACTGATGATTGGCTGGGGTGGGATCACTACTTCTTCCTTTGGAGGAAGTGGCAGCTGTGTAGCTGAATCCTCTGGCTCTGTTTTCACCAGTCCATCATCTGTCTCTGCTTGATCTGCTGCAGCTTCTTCTTGTTTTTTGGTCTCTTCTGCTTCCCTTCTGGCCATGAGTCTAAACTCACACAAACAAAAAATTTACACTTGCCACAAATCCATGAAAATGTATCATAAGCAAAACAAAATCATTTTAGCAAAGTAAATATAGCCTTACTGCAATTACGTACAGAATGAATGATGGGATCCTTTTAATCCTTTCCCTAAAATTTATGTTCTGTAGAGTTGCTACTTTGCAATCAACTGTTGTTAAGCTTCATGTATCATTGCAAAGTCCAAATTTATCTACTCAAGTATGTTCTTAAAAGGAAAAATTATTTACCTGTAATCCTGGTTCTCTGAACATGCCATATTAACAGATTATCTCATTAGCACAAAACTTCTCCCCTAGCTCTCAAGGTGCTCTTTAACCCTTGAGAAATAGCAATGCAACATGAGAGGTTCCCTAATAGCAGTCCTATGTCATCCAATGCAGAATATAAACACTGCCTCTGAATCTTCCAGTCAATTATTTTGATAATGCATAAGGCTAAGCATGCAGAAAAGAAAACCAATACCAGATCAGTATCAAGGATTATCTCCACTCCAAAGCTGCATTGGTTTAACTAGCCTATTTGATTAAACTAGTGTAATTATGTGTGGACAATTTGTGGATTTAGCTTGCACCTATAAATGTACATTTGCAAACTAAACCAACATAAAAAAATAGGACTATGTAGCACTTTTAAGACTAACAAGATGGTTTATTAGGTGATGAGCTTTTGTGGGCCAGACCAAATAGTGGAAGAAAATTGGCACAACCATATAAACCAAAGGACACACTAAAAAAAATGAACACATATGAAAAGGACAAATCAAATTTCAGGACAGAAGGAGGATTGGGGGCTCCCAAAATCAATAGATTAGTTGAAAATGATGTAGTTTTTAATATAAAATACAGAATTGGGTTTTTTTTGGTTTTTAAGTTTAAGGTGGGCTATTCTTTCAAACTTTTGTCAGGAGGTATGAGGACTAGAAATTTAATTTCAGCTTTCATTTAGAAAAGTCACACCAAATACCTCCAGAGGCTGTGGGTTTGTAAAATATATATGTATGAGCGCGAGAGAGCTATTGTTACTATTTTCTAATCTTTGATGGATGTGCTCAGGATGAGATGAGCTATCTGAGACGTTTGTCCAATGTACATTGGACTGGGGGCTGTAGGTGATGACAAGTGGTGTTCTATTGTTGGTTTTCTTGGGTCTGTCTTGAAGTAGATGGTTTCTAGGTATTCGTCTGGCTCTTTCGATTTGTTTTTTTTTATTTCTCCGGGTGCGTAGTTGAGATTTATAAATGCTTGGTAGAGATCCTGAAGTTTCTGGTCTCTGTCAGTGGGATTAGAGCAGACGCGGTTGTATCGAAGGGCTTGGCTATAGACAATGGATCGTATGGTGTGTTCTGGATGGGAGCTGGGGGCATGTAGGTAACTGTATGAGTCGGTGGGTTTTCTATAGAAAATGGTGTCTAATTTTCCATTGGTGATTTGTACTGTGGTGTCCAGGAAATGGATCTCTTGTGTAGAATGGTCCAGGCTGAGATTGATGGTGGGGTGTAGCTTGTTAAAATCTCTGTGGAATGTCTCCAGTGTTTCTTGGCCATGCGTCCAGATCATAAAGATGTCATCGATGTAACGTAAGTAGAGAAGAGGTAAAAGGGGATGGAAGCTGAGGAAACGTTGTTCTAAGTCAGCCATAAAGATGTTAGCGTACTGTGGGGCCATGTGTGTACCCATGGCTGTCCCGCTGATCTGGAGGTATAAGTTGTTCTCAAACTGGAAATAATTGTGGGTGAGAACAAAGTTACATAGGTCTGCTGTCAGATTGACAGTGGTGTCCTCTGGGATAGTGTTTCTAATTGCTTGTAATCCGTCTTCATGTGGGAGGTTGGTGTATAGAGCTTCTATGTCCATGGTGGCAAGGATGGTGTGATCGGGGAGGTTATCGATGTTTTGTAGTTTCCTTAGGAAGTCAGTAGTATCTCGGAGATAGCTGGGGGTGTTGGTTGTGTAAGGTTTGAGATGAGAGTCTATATAGCTGGATAAAACAGTAGTGAGCGTGCCGATACCTGAGATGATGGGACGTCCAGGGTGTCCAGGTTTATGGATTTTGGGAAGCAGGCAGAACAATCCTGGTCAGGGTTCAGAAGGTGTTTCTGTGTAGATTTGTTCCCGTGTAGCTGTAGGGAGGCTTTTAAGGAGACAATGTAGTTTCTTTTGGTATTCCAAGGTGGGATCAGAGGAGAGAGGTTTGTAAAATGTGGTGTTGGAGAGTTGTCTGGTTGCCTCCTGGTTATAGTCGGCCTTATTCATAATGACCGCTGCACCCCCTTTGTCAGCTGGTTTGATTATAATGTCTGGGTTGTTTTTGAGACTCTGGATGGCATAGTGTTCAGCGCGGCTGGGATTGTGTGTCGCTTGTTGTCGTTTGTGAATAATGTCAGTCTGTGCGTTGTTGCGGAAGCTTTGTATATAGAAATCCAGATTGTAATTCCGACCGTCAGGGGGAATCCATATAGAATTATTTTTCCTTTGGTGTTGATAGGGGGGGATCTGGTAGGTCAGATTGATGTTCATTGGTGGTTTGGAAATATTCTCGGAGGCGGCGAAAAAAAGCCTCAAGGTCACCACAAAATTGTATCCAGTTTGTGGGGGAGGTGGTGCAGCTTAAACTAGCAGTTCACCTGGTTATGTGGTGTGATATGGTGTCTGCCCCACACTAGCCCATAAGGAGGTAGAGTCCTAAGGAAGCTGTGCAGTAGGCAGCCAGGTAGAGGGGGGCTACAAGGAGCAGCTACTCAGAGCCAGACTGGCACTTATAAGAAGGGCTGAAGAGCAGTGGAAGCTAGCATCCTGAGAGAGCAATTCTGGGCAGGAACAGGAGAGCTGAAGCCCTGAGACAAGGGCAAAGGAGGTGCTGGGGGTCACAAGTGACCCAAGAAAAGATAATCTCATTGAGTTGGAGAGGATACTGCAAATGCTTGTTTTCTACAAAGTCCCTGAGCCTGGAGCCAAAGTAACAGGTGGGCCTGGTCCTCCCTCCTCTTGCCACTGAAAAAGTGGATGAACAGCAGACTGCAGGTCCCCCAGACAATGAGAACACAGGCCGAGCCAGAGGGCTGTGTCCTGAAGAGAACACCACAATCCTTAGAGTGACACAGGTCTAGGAGCAGAAGTAATGGCAGTGAGGTACTATCAGAAAAGGGTAGCACTGGTGCAGAGCTAATTCCCAAGAACCAGCAGGAGGCACTGCAATGGTGAGTTCACTCCATTACTTGCTGGTTTAACTAAATCCCCATAAAAATCTCACCAGTTACATCAGTGTGGAGACCAGGCATACAATTTTTTTAAAGTGCTCCAGTAAAGACAATGGAAAAGATACCAGCAAAAAAAGTCCATAAGTAACTGCCAAGTTCTGAGAGGAAGTGGGCAGATGAGTGACAATTCTGCGAGAGATTTTCAGGGAAGCAGAACTGTAAGTAATTTTCCCTTCTCGAAAGAGACCTGCACAGGAGTCTTACTCCTTGAGAGATGTTCCAAAAGACAGTGGAGCTCAGCTGCAGCAAGAATAAGGTGAACAAGGAGTACTTTTTGGGAGAGAAAATTAAAACGTTAAATTAAACGAAAATTAAAAATTAAAATGAGGGATGTCCTAGAAAAAAGACATCCTTATGAAGGTGAGAGAGTTTGATCTCTCCTACCTTGGAAACAACTGCTGGAACACAGAGAACCTCAAAAGCAATGTTTTACAAAGTGGCCTGCAAAGCCACTTTGAGAAACCCGTTAATTGGCCGCGCTGGTTTGTTTATTTACCAGCGCTGCAGCCTCACCGCTCCCATTTGCTCTGTTTTGCTGTTTGCAGCCAAGGGAAGTCACAAGGTGAAATGGAGCCAACAGGAGCTGCGAGGCTGTGGCATCAATAAACAAACAGGCATAGCCAATTAACAGGTTTCTCAAAGTGGCTTCTCTTGGAGCTTGAATTCAATCCACAATGGTTTGCAAACATATGAAGGAAGAATGTGTAATTTTGCATGTGTCTGTGATAGGAACATCCTTAAAGTAGTGATGGACATAGACTCTGAGTGAGCCTTTCAGACCAGTTTGGTTATAGAATGCAAAGCACTGAAGATACAGGGTCAAGTTTTCATAAGTGCCCAACTTCCAATTTCAAAAGTGACTTTAGTATCAAATTGAAAGTTAACGGGACTTAAGAATGTTTTACCCATAGTCATTTCCCACTTAACAGATACAAAAGGAAAAAAGTTTCTCAGTGCTTTTAGAATCCTAGAAATGTAGAGGCTGGAAAGGACCTTGAGAGGTCACCTGGTCCAGCCCCCTGTGCTGGAAGAGGACCAAGTAAATCTAGACCATCCCTGATCGGTATTTGTCTGACCTATTTTTAAAACCTCCAATGATGGGGATTCCAACACCTCTCTTAGAAGCCTATTCGAGAGCTTCATAACCCTTATAGTTAGAAAGCTTTCCTAATAGGTAAACTGATCACAACTTTCTTTATAACAGCTTTTCGTAGATTTGAAGATTGATCAGCTCCCCCTCAGTCATCTTTTCTCAAGACTAAACGTACCCACTTTTTTTAACCTCTCCTCCTTGGTCAGGTTTTCTAAGCCCCCTTTTATCATTTTTGTTGTTCTCCTCTGGACACTTCCAAATTGCCCACATGTGGTGCCTAGAATACTCCACCTGACGCCTCACCAGTGCCAAGCAGAGTGGGACAAGTTAGCTCTTGTTTTACATTCAATGCATCTGTTAATACACATGGTCTTTTTTGCCACTGCATCACAATGACTCCTATTCAATTTGTGATCCTTTTCAGCAGTACCATGACCTAGCTCATTCGTTCCCATTTTATAGTTGTCCACTTAGGAAGGAAAGCTCAAATGAAGTACTCTCCCCTTGTCTTTTCAATTGCAGCTTGTTGAATTCAGACTTATTGACCAAAGTGCTTGCAACCACTCCCAGTTTGGTGTCGTCTGCAAATTTTAGGAGCATACTTTCCACTTTCC